GTAATTGGAATTTCATCAGCTTATTTAGGATTTGATTTTGTTTTTATTTCAAATTCAGTATTTTATTTTTCTGGTTCACTGATTTAATTTTTGCATTTACTCACTACTTTAGCAGTTATACGTACAGGATAATTTTGATCATCTTTTCCTTTTTGAGTGATTTAAGTAGAATTATTTGGAGATTAAAATACCTCGTCTATTTGAGTTTATTTTTGTAGTTTCTAGCTGCTTTAATCAGTTGTTGACTAAATCTTTTATATAATAATATAAGTTTGATAATGTGAAAATACTTTGTTTTTATTACCTTAGGCTCTAATTTAAAATCCTAGTCATTTGATTCATTATTTTTCAGCTTTTATTGTTGATTATTTGGTTAATAAAAAATAGGTTCTTTATTTTTTTGATCTTCCTCATTGCTATCTTTGTTTTTTTTTCTATATGTCAATCTAGTTTTATTTTAAACTTAGTCTATTAAATTGATATTTTACAGATTATTTTTCTAAATGGCAGGTATTGTATCAGATTCGTAGGTTTCATTGCTTTACTAAAAAAAATAAGTGCTGTTATTAGTTTCAAAAGTCTTTTAGCTCTTTATTGATAGATTAGATTGAGTTTTATTATTTTATTCTTCTTTATTGTTATTCTGATTAGTTACTTCTACTTTATTTAAATCTTACATATCTACTTATTTTTTCTCATTTTATAATATTTCTAGAGGACTTTAATCAAGCTGGATATCAGTGTGAAGATCTTTCTGATTAGGTAAAATCTATTTTTGAGATTAAGTGCTCTACTCATAGTCTTATTTAGTTTTACTATTTTATTCTTCTTCTTCTTCTTTATTATTATTATTATTCAGATTAGTTACTTATACTTTATTTAAATCTTACACATCACCTTATTTTTTCTTATTTTTTAATATTTGTAGAGGTCTTTAATAAAGCTGGGTATTAGTGTGAAGATCTTTCTGATTATGTAAAATCTATTTTTGAGATTAAGTGCTCTACTCATAGTCTTATTTAGTTTTACTATTTTATTCTTCTTCTTCTTTATTATTATTATTATCATTATTATTATTCTGATTAGCTACTTCTACTTTATTTAAATCATACTAGACATCACCTTATTTTTTCTTATTTTTTAATATTTGTCGAGGACTTTAATCAAGCTGGATATCAGTGTAAAGATCTTTCTGATTAGGTAAAATCTATTTTTGAGATTAAGTGGTCTACTCATAGTCTTATTTAGTTTTACTATTTTATTCTTCTTCTTCTTTATTATTATTATTTTGATTAGCTACTTCTACTTTATTTAAATCATACTACACATCACCTTATTTTTTCTTATTTTTTAATATTTGTCGAGGACTTTAATCAAGCTGGATATCAGTGTAAAGATCTTTCTGATTAGGTAAAATCTATTTTTGAAATTAAGTATTCTACTTATTGTCTTATTTTAACTAATTAAGTCCTTATTGTTGATTGTTTTTCAATTAATTTCTGTTCAGATGAATATTAGGACTTAAATATGCCTTTTATTGTTTTGTTAGATCATTAACTGGTTGTTTAGATAGATTTCTATCAAAAATATCTGATTATTTTTTAAAGTTTGGTTTACAACTCATAATTTCATTTATTTTTCCAAGATTAGATTACTCTTTTTGGCCAAATATATTTAATTTTCTCATATCAACCGATTAATTTTTGAATTATTCTTATGAATAATCCTTTGCACGATAGATGTTTGGCATAATATCATTTAATTATTATTTTTTATTTTGTAAATTTTAGAATTTAGCTGGAGTTGGAATCAAATTTTCTTGAATAATATTGTTTTAAACATGCTGCTGCTATATTTTATTTACATTTTTATTATTATTATCTTTAAAGTATTCATAAGGAGACTATTTTCTACCCTAAAAAATAATAAGAAATAAATTTAGCTTAAATATTTGTAAATAAATAAATAAATAATATTGATTTACTTAAAAAAATTTTTATTTGAGTCGATTTTTAATAAGGGGTTCATTTAATATTTACTCTAGAGTATAACGACCTCTTTCTCCTTCTGGGGATTTTATCAGGAGTTTAGATATTAATGTTTTAAGCTAGGGTGAGTATTAAGCTTGAGTAATAGGCGGATAGGGTTTCTTATAAGTTTTATAATAAATAATATATTCATTCCAGCTATTAAAAGGAGGTTTAAGACAGCACAGCTCATATAAAACAACACCAAGAGACCAAATATCAACGCTTGAATTATAAAGTTCTCCTTTTATCATTTCTGGAGCTAAATAGTAAGGAGTCCCAATTCTTGAATATAGCTATTGGTTGGTATATTCAAGTTCTTTTGATATTCCGAAATCACCAATCTTCACTCTATTGTCGGCAGTTAAAAATATATTTTCAGGTTTGATATCTCTGTGAATTATTTTACTTTTTTATAAAATATTTTTTAATTAGTTAAATAAATAAATTTATAATTAATTCTATTTATTTATATATTAGTTTTATACTTTTTATGAATATACTTCAAGCCCAAGCAAATTTGAATAAACCAATCTAAGATTTAATCTTCTTCAAATAGTTTTCCAGTTTATTTCTATTCTTTTATTTTTTTTCTTAAGTCTCCACCTTTGTGTTATTTTATTTAATTAATGATGAATATATTTATTTATTTATATGTTTGATTGCAAATATTATTTAAATTAAATAATATTTAGGTCTTTATAGGATATCAAAAAAATATACTAATCAAAAAATTAACAATAATATCTTTCATTTAGAAAGAGTAAGAACATATTTAAATAAATAAAAATTTACCTTCTGCGTACTCCATCATGATATAAATCATTTATTTGTTTGGTTAATTAATAGCCTTCTTGAACTTAACTATATGAGGATTATCAAGCTTCTGTAGGATTGTGCATTCTTTTAAGCATTTTTCTAAATCCTCAAAGATCATATTTTGAGTAGAAATATTTTTTATCGCCAATATACTACCATCACGTTGACTTTATACCAAATACACTTAACCATAATTACCTTAACCTATTTTTTTTTTCAATACATAGCCGCCAGGTAAGTTAACACAATTAAATAATTGATCCATAGATTAAAAAGATGACATAGCTCCGCAATCCTTTAAACCAATTATTATCTAAGTTGATTTCTTTAATTTTGAAGAAATTAGTCTTTTTTGACAGAAATTTAAATTTCTAATTTATTTGATCTACTATCAATAAATATTTTTAATTAATCTTTTATTTGTGTTTTATTAATTAATCTATCTTTATACATATTAGATTATTTTAAAATACACTTTCCATAAAATAAATCCATAAACATAAAAACTCGTCTCTTTTTTAAATATTTAAGTTATTTCTCTTTTTTAAATATATTACTTAGCTTTTTAAATTATTTCTCTCAATATAAATAAACAATATTTTATATTTTTAATTTAAATATAATTCTTATCTTATCTTGAGTATCAACAATTAATTAATCGTTTTATTATCAAACAAAAATAATTAAAATTCAAAAAGATAAATCATTCATTCTTCAAGTATCTATCTATTTATCTATGTAAGGAAAATAATTAGTTGAAAACAAAGAGAATAAACTAAACTTAAAATAAAAATATAAAATTTTCTATTTTTATATTATATCATTCACCTATTTATTTATTTACTAAGAGAAACAAACACAATAACTAAATAGTATTTAAAATAATTTAATATTTTATTTGAAAATTTAAATAATCAGCCAAAATAGATACAAAAAGAAAAAACATCAAGCAAGAATTAATTAATACTTTTTATTTATTTTTTCTGATTAAAATTTATTAAATTATTTATATATTATTAGTGAGGTTTTCTTAAAATTAGTAAGCGAAATCTAAAGTGATGTTCAGTTGAAATAAATATATAATAAAGATTTAAATTTGGATAATTATTATGATTTTAAGAACTTATAAACAGCAAAAAAAATATTTTTAAATTAGAGTAAAACTTAAAATAAAAATGATATTATTAATTATAATTAATAATTTTAAAAACATATTTATTTTCAAAGTATTTATTTTTGTATGAATATAAATAATTTATATAAAAAAATTAACAAAATAAACTAAATTTTATTTATTTCTTTTAAGAATTTTAGTAATTCTAATATAAACCCAAAGTTTTTAATTTGCTTAAATTTATTTGGTTTAAGAATATTTTTATGTAATGAAAACCACCAAAAATTTGAAAAAATAAATATTGAATATTGTATTTGACCGCTTTTTATACTATATATTTATATATTAAATACAATTTATGAATTTTATTGGATCTATCTTGCCTTTCCATACTTTTTCATAAATACTTTAATTTATTTTTTTTTATTTTAAATTAAACATAATCCAGGTTTTAAAATATGATGAACTGGATCATATTATATTTTAATACCTGGATTAGCAATATTAAGTAGAAGTAATTTTAATCATTTAATTTGACGCTTATTTCGATATAATTAAAATGGATAAATATTAATTAATAAGAATGATATATATAAATGTTAATTTTAAAAATTAAAAATCAATAACTAAGCATGTAAAATTTAGATAAAATTATTTTTTTATTAATGTTTTGAATATTAAGGTTTTTTTAGTTAACTTAAAAATAATAAATAATCAATTAATTATTAAGCAGAAATATTTTTTTAGTGTTTGTTTTTTTGTTTGACTTGGCATTTATTTGTATTGAAATAATAAAAATGGATAAATTTTAATTAATAAAATAAAATTAATGTTTTTTAAAAAATAAATTGCTTAAATTTTTCATTAGACAACATGTAAATTTTATATAAATATGACTGAAACTGAAAATTTTATATAATCTCTAAATCATAGTTACAAGTAAGAACCAATTCAATTTTTAAGTTTTTAATTCCACTTTTTTCTTTTTCAAAACTTGAAAGAAAAATAGTGAAAAATATTGAATATAAAAATCACTATTTTCAATCTTAACTTAATAGATAAATTAATTATTATATTTTATACTTTAATTCATCTAGTTCAACTGAGAGAATCTTTTTTTATAATATCTTTATTTAGTTCTTTAGTGTATCATCTAAGAAGTCTTAATTTTACATCTAATTTTTAAAATAAAATTACTTTCTTCTTTTAAAAATATTTTTAAATTAATTTTACCTCCTTATTTACTATGTTGTAAAGTAGTTTGAATTACTCTTGTGTCATTTTTTTAAAGAAATCTTCCTTCAATTACTATATTTATGAATAGGACATAAATAAATATAAATTGGAATTTTGATGAAAACTACATTAAATTATTCTTGTGATTATCTTGGAATGTTATAAATCTTTTCTACATCTCTTTCTTGTTATTTATTTATTTTTTCTTCTTCTTCTACTTCTTCTTCTTCTTCTTCAAAGTAATCATCATAATAAAAATCTTCATCATCTATTAGTTTAAGATCATTTTCCTAAAGTAAATCTTCCTCATTATAGGTTTCTTTGACATAATTTGGTTCACTTTAAATCTAAATAAAATTCAATGGTTTATTTCAAAATGCTATTTTAAAACAATTTAATATACTAAACACGTCAGGTATTTGATGTATTCATCTTCTGAATAAGGTACTTAAAATTAATTTAGCTCTCTAATCATGTTATTTTTAGACGATTATTTCTCAAGACAAATATCTTCTTCATATACAAAAACTAAATTCAAAAAATATATTTTTAATTTAATTTACTTTGAGTTTTTTATTCAAATAGAACCTTGGAATTCTTCTCTTGTGACTGCTCCTTACTTTATGATAAAATAAATTATTTTAATAACTTTCATCACAATTAATTTACTCTACAAAATTTTTTTTTTTTCCGGTCAATAATTAACAAGAATGAGTGTTGAATTCTTATTCATTAAAATTATTTCTTTTTGCTTTAGAAATATTTTTTTGTTCTTAAGAATTACCATTTTATTTTGTGTTCAAATCTTTTTAATCTGGTTTGGTTGGAGTTATTGGGAATTTATCAACCTAATTGAGGTTCGATTTTATTTTTTTTTCATATTGAATATTTTATTTATCTAAGCCACTGATTTATTTTTAATGTGTACTAAATATGTTTTCATATTTTCTGTTTACTTAAATTTATTTTTATAAATCTTCATTCAAATGATTTTGATTTACATTTTCTTTTTCGATTTCTATTTTTTGTATTTATGTTAGAGGTGGCAATATTTATTTATTACAAAAGAAATCTCTTTCATTGAATACAATAACTGATTTTGATTTAAACTACTAAAGATTATCTTTTTTATTTTATTATTGATTTGGTAAAATAAAAGGGTTATCTTAACTTTTTTGATTTTACTCATTTCTCTAATCAGTAATGTTTTTAATTTTTATTATAACTGATGATCGACAATGCTACACCTTTTTCTCTGCGACAGGTGTTTCTAAGTCCGATATTTAACTACTTTATGAAGTACTCTTTCCACTTAGATGAGTGTTATTTTCATTTTTTAAAGTGTTAAAATTCTTTACTTATGGACTAGCTGGAATTGTATTATTTTCTATATTATTATTATTATTATTATTCTGTGCATTTTTTTCTTCTAAATTTGATTACTCTTATTTGTCAAGTTTTTGTAAGTTTTTTCTCCTATCAGCAGATTCATTTTTTTATTCTTCTTAAGCTTACCTATTGGCACAACTTTATGGCCTAAGCTCATTTAATTAATTATTATTACTTTCGAAATTTTAGTTATTAGCAGAAGTTGGATTGATATTTTATTAATTTACATTGCTATTAACAGGTTATTGGTTAATTTCTTATCTATTTTCTTACAAGTGATCATTCTATATGAATTGATTCAATAATGAGTCTTGCTCCATAAAATTATTTACCTAAGGTATATCAGGAGATCTATTCTATAAATTAATAAGAAAAAAAAAATTATATCTTAAAAATTAATAAATAAAATTTATATTAATTTACTAAAATGGATTTTTTTAAGTATACTTTGAGTCTACTTTAAATTAAAGATTCGTCGAATATTTATTTTAAAGTATAGCGTTCCTTTGGGCATTTTCTCAGGAGTTTAGATATTAATGTTTTAAGTTTTCCTGAGTAATAAAGTTAAGCTATAGGTGGATAGGGTTTTTTTTTAATTTTACAGTAAAGATTTGCTTCATTCCAGTCTTAAAAAGGTGGTTAAAGACAACACAGCTAATATAGAATAACACCTAAAGACCAAATATCAACACTTGAATTATATGCATATCCACTTACAATTTCTGGAGCTATATAGTACGGAGTCCCAACTATTGTTTTTAGACATTATTTAGTGTATTAAAGTTCTTTTGATACTCCGAAATCACCAATTTTCAATTAACCAAAAGCAGTTAAAAATATATTTGCAGGTTTGATATCTCTATGAATTATTTTACTTTATTATAAAAGATTATTTAATAAATAAAACTATAATTTTATTTCTTCTACTTACTTTTTGTGTATGCAATCCAAGCCCAAGCAAATTTGAATAAAAAAATCTAAAATTTTCTCTTCTTCAAATGGTTTTGCACTTTATTTTTATTTTTCTATTAGTTTTTCTAAGTCTCCACCTATATATTTATTTATTAATTTTTTTATATATTTGATTGCAAATATTACATAAATTAAATATTGAGGTTTGTTTTTATAGATTATCTAAAAAATAAGCTAATAAAAAAAGCAAAAAAGAAATAAATATCTTTCATTTCAAGATAACATTTTTAAATATTTACCATCTGTGTATTCCATAATGATCTAAATCAATTATTAATTTCTATAATTAATAGCCTCCTTGAACTTAATTATATGAGGATTATCAAGCTTCTTAAGGATTTTGTATTCAGATTAGCGTTTTTTTTTCACATCTTCACCTCCACTAACATATATATTTTTTATCGCCCATTTACTACCATCTCTAATGCTTTACACCAAATGCACTTAACCATATGCACCTTCGCCTATTTTTTTAATCCATCGATAGCCGTCTGGTATATTAAAATGATTAGATTATTGATTTTGAGATGACATAGCTCCTCCCTCAGTCCTTTAGTTCAATTATTAACTAAGTTGATTTTTTTAATATGTTTGACTTTCTTTTTGAAGAAATTAGTATTTTTTCTCTAAAATTTATATTATTCTAATTGATCTAATCTTCTTTATCTTTTACTTAGTTTTTTAAATCTCTACACATAATCAAATTATTTTACACTTTTCTTAAATTCCCATAAAGATAAAAACTTAATCACTCTTTTTCTCTTTTTTAAATATTTATTCTATTTCTTTTTTTAAAAAAATATCACTTAACTTCATTGCTTAATATAAATAAATAAAGATTAAATATGATTTTTTAAATTTAAATATAATTGTAATCTATCTTGAGTATGAAGAATTAATAGTATCTAATATAAATTGATTGAATAACAATTTAACTAACATATTAATAATTAATCTAATATTTAAGAAATACATCCAAAAGACATATAATGAATATTTCATGTATATATGGTAAAAAATTGATTGAAAAGAAAGAGAAGAAATTATTCCAAAAATAAAAATACAAAATTTGTTTTTAATTATTAGAAAATATTTTTTATACACAGAGAGTGTGTCTTAATTAGAGTACTTACATTACAGAATTATAATTTATTTTATTTAAAATTTTTAAGAATTTAATTTTGCGTCTGTCTTAGCAGCATCGACATGAATGGACATGGGATTAATTTCTTGAAGAGTTTTAATAAAATTTAGTTAAATAAAATTAATTTTCAAATAAATTATTTTTTTTATTTTCATCAAAATCATACTTTTTTCAGTAAATGTAAACACAATATTATAAAATATATATATATATTAATAAGATATAATGATTGATGAAGCCAGATTATTTAAAAAATAAAAACAAACAACAATTTTTGAAATAAATATTTTTTTGTTTTACAAATATAAGTTAATAAATATTATTACTTTGGATTGATTAGTAATAAATTTTATGTATAATCACATAAATAACGCAACTAAAGAGAACAAGACAATAAAAACCAAATTATTACTACTATTTGGATTGATTGTATTAAAATTTGGCTGTATGTTACTACCAAATTCATCAATTACACTATCAGTTTATGTACTATTTGTTACAGCATTAATACCTATATTAGTGTCACCTACAGCATCTACCGTAGCTTAAAGCATTCTTACCATATCATGAATTTCCTAAAAAAGAAGTCTACCAGAGCTACTAGGAGGATTGAGAGAAGGACTACCTTACAAATTATTCTCACAAGCAGAGTTATCCCCAAAAGCGATAGTTCCAGGACAAATTAAATTTCCAGATGAATCTTGAAGACTTATTCCTAGATTTGCAAATTTCTAAGTTATTTTACCTTTAACATAATTAGCACAAGTTAGTCCATCAGGTTTACTGATTTTAATATATCCACTATTAAATTCATCAATAACATCTGAAATACTTTATTATGTAAAATTGCCTAGATAATAATTAATATTTAATGTCGTATTTCCTATAAAATAGTCTAAGCTACTTTGTTATATTTTTAATAAACCCTTATCATTAAAATAATTTTAGACTACATCAACTCCAGCACACATTCCGCATAGAACTCCTCTTGTGAAAGAAGTAATATTTTGAGCAAATCCAATTTTTATGGCAGAAAGACTTGCTCTCAACGATTAAAATTTTTTCAAATTCCTATTACCATATATAGCAGTATTATTTACTTGATTATATGGTAGAAAATCTTATTTACAATTGCCATCATATAGATAAGCTACATAGTTATCAACTAATTATTAATAAGCACTATTTGTTGACTAAATATTTAAAACTTTCAGTAAAGCAGCATTATCTATCCATTAAGTAAATGCTTTGAAGCAGCAGGAGTTATCGCCAACATAATCTGAGCATACTCCTACATCAGAATCTTAGGCAATTTTAGGGATTGCACTTTAGTACATTGGAGAAAGGACATTATATAATCCTGTGGCATTCATAGATGTTACATTATCATTTTTAAGTATATTTTAAATGACATTTTGAGACTTTATAAAGATAGGATGGTTGTTACAATTTATGGTCTGGCATTTAACTAAAGACAATATAGAATAAATTGCTCCAATGAAAATTAAAATGAAAGCTTTTTTCATTTTGTCTATATATGTAAATTAGCTATTGATATATATTGACTTATAAATAAATTTTGAGCTTCCCTAAAAATAAATAATGATAAATTAGCTAAGTATTTATTTACAAATATATTATTTATTAATTTGAATATAAATTTTGAGTGAATTATCTTACGAACAAATCAATTGATTAAGTAATTAATTGCATTCATATAGATTTGTTAATATCTAATTAATTTTAATATTTCTTAGACTTTTGTATGCATAAATATTTAATTTCTATCATTTATGCTGAATAAATAAATTCTTTGGATTTTATTTTATCATTCAAAGAGTCATACATCCATCCATCCATCCATCCATCCATCCATCCATCCATCCATCCATCCATCCATCCATCCATCCATCCATCCATCCATCCATCCATCCATCCATCCATCCATCCATCCATCCATCCGTCAGTCATTCATTTTATGGATTAAATTTATTTTATTATTTTAATATAAAGCATTTTGTTATTTTAAAAAAATGATATTTCCAGTAAACAGTACATAACCATTTATTTTTATTATTTAGTATTATGGTTATTTATCATATATTTTATAATTAAAATCAAATCTTAAAAATGAGAGTACAAACGGATATTTTTAAATATTTTAAAGGAGGGAAATAATGATAAATAAAAATGTATTTTTACAATTATTTTATCATTTTTAAAAATCCAAACATCTATTGATTTTTAGATTTGAATCTATGACATCCTCCTATATTGTGATATAATATAATATAATTTATTAATGCATTAATATAATTAAAAAAAACTCAGTTTCAAAAAATAACTCAAGTATGTATGTATTTATTTATTTATTTTTAGTTTGATTGAATAATTTAAAATAAATAATACGTAGAAAATTTTTTTTTGAATTTTTTTTTATAAAAATTAATTAAATTTTAGAGTTGTTTTTAATTAATTGTTTTTTAATTTAATTTATAATTATTTTAACGATAATCTAGCTCTAAAATTAGCAAAAATTTATGAAAAGTATATTTTAATTAACAAAACCACATTAATCTTTAATGATTTAGAATTTGTTTTAATTGTTTTAATTATACTTATAAAATATTTTGGTAAAAACAATTTATATAGTTAGCAAATCAAATAAAAATAAATTAGATTAAGAAGAAATTCAATTTAATGATACATTGAGAATTAAGTTATTTTTAATTTATTTAAGAAACTTAATTACATTGGTATATTTGAAACAAGTTTATGGATTTTTTTAAAAGTTGAAATTGAATAGCTTAAAAAATATCTAATTTAAAAGTAAGAAAATTGTAAATATTTAGTTAGTTAGTTATTAATTAGTTAGAAAAGGAATTATATTAATTTAGGATTATAAATTTTTAAAATAGACAGATAGAAAAAAAGATGGAAGTAATCTATTTAAATAGAAAAATCTTAAGTTAAATATTTGTAAAAATGAAATTTATTTTTATCAGTAAATATCTTTATTTAGATGAGGGAATTATTTTTTAATGTCATGTGATTAAATTTAGGTGGTATTTTTTTAGAAAAATTTTTCTACTTGTTCTGATTATATACAATTATTTAAAAATTCATTAATATCACAGAAGTATCACCACCACTCTTTTAATAAATTATAAGCAATCATACATAATTTTCTGTAGATAATACTTGAAATATTTAACATCCCATAGACAATAAATTAATATAATATAATTATTGATAAGTCAAAAGGGATATCAGAATTATAGCACCTTATTTCTATTTAAAAAATTGTAAACTTTATATTTGGAATAATTAATATATTCGTAAATTCAACATGGTATTTATTTCCGCTTTTGGATGCAATTTTATACAAAAATAATCTCAAGAAGAAGACAAGTCATATTAAATATGTAGTTATGCGATGTATCGATTATTAATCAGATGGAATATTTTTGGAGATAGGAAGCAGATTCAGGTATACTTAAATCCAAAGGATTCATTTTTTATTGGTATGTTTTATTTTTCAATTTTATTGGTAAAAAAATAGTTATTTAAAATGTATTCTATGCTTTGTTTGTGTTAAAAGTATAACAGATTCAATTTAAAATAGTACGTTTTAAAAATTTTTATTTTGAATACTTCATTAAGCTATATACTTTTATTATTTAAGTTAAATGGTTAATTATCTTTATTAGTTAGTTGCTAGAATGATAATAAAATTTGATTGTATTTGAATTATAAAAATCAAATAGAAAATACACTTATAAATTAATACAAAGCTATATAAATAAATAACTAACGTCACTCAGAATTTTCTGCAAGAATTTCAACTTCTTGAAAGTTAAGAAAACCATTCATTTGAATTAACTGCTAACTTACTACCAGTATTTTTTTGTTGATTTAGCTTTATTAGTAAACTGAAGATATTTAATGCTTTGTAGTTCAAGTTTTACTGTGTGTTAATTTGTTATTAACATTTGATAGATTATTCGGTGATTTTTTTTTGGTATTTTAAATATTTATAGACAGACAGATGCCCTAAGCTAATTAAGGAAATCGATTATTGTCTGATTTTAGAATTTCATTGTCCATTAAAAATTTGCTTCTTAAATATCTTAATTTTGTGCTTTTTACTTTATAACTCTTGAATTTCACCTTAATTGCTGGACGAAAAATATGTCATGATAGTTTTATTTAAAGCAACTAGTTTAATATGAGTAATTTAAAAATGTTAAATGTGTGCTTAAAAAAATAAATGGGTAAAATAATTCAAATCGTTTTTGATGTTTGAAAATAAAAATTTAAATTTTTGATGAGCAATAGTTATGGTAAAAAAAATGAAATAAAAGAGTGCTCAAAATTAGTTAAATTATGGACAAAAGTGAGGGATTAAGGGTTAAAAATTAGAAGGAAAAATAATTAATTCAGCAGTAACATAGGACAATCTAAAAAAAGTGTAAGGGAGTGCATTTAACTATAAATATCCTTTTGTAAAAGTCTGACGTCAGAAGAGACGTGAGAAAGTTACGCAACTTATATAAAAAGAAGAGGAAAAAACAAGCAAGCAATTAATAAAATTAGCGAGAGTGGTTCTACTTTAAAGAAAGATAAAGTGAATGAAAAAAATAAGAAATGTAATATAGAGATGACTATGAAATTGAATGTGAAATTTAAAAAGAAAGCGAATAAAACAAACAAATAACAAAGAAAATCAAACTATCACAAAATCAAACAAAATTAAAGCAAAAATTAACAAAAAAGAGACCAAAAAAACAAATATTAATAATTGTCTGTTTAATTGGGTTTTTTTAGTCCATATAAAAATGAATGAAATATTCTTTGAGAATTTTTAATTTAAATATGGAAATCATTACTATTAATTAAGTGATCAAATCAATTAATCAATTCATTCATTAATGAATGAATGAAATTTTATGTGAATAAATATATGAATATCATTTCTTCTTTATATAAATGAATGAATTCATGTATGTGAGTAAAGAAAGAGTGTGTGTGCATGTAATTTAAGTAATTTCACATATAATTTAGTAAAAATATACTTGGAAATCAAATATAATGCTTATATATAAGTAAAGGCATATATGTGAAGTGCTTGTTTCATATAATTAATAAACAAGAAATTTGTCAATATATTAAGAAACAGGCAAACTAAGAAAAGCAACACATAACCTTTTCATAAAGAATAGCTTAAACTAAATAATTTACCAAGCCAAAACACTAAATAGTGCAATATAATGTCTTCAGCTACAATTGTCATATAAAAGGATAATAATCCCATGATTAAATCAAATATGCAAGTATTTAATCCAGCCAAGACATCTCCAAAAAACAAGGTCTTTATTGTTAGTAATAATGTCAAGAGTAACGATTAAGTGTATTTTGCTCCTCACTAATTAATGAACAAAGACGCATACAATTAACCTACTGCAAACGAATTTTTAGCAGTTTCAATGCAAGATTCGCTCCGTCCTGAGCGCAAAGTATCAAACGCATCCACTGATTCTTCTTAATCAACAACTTAAAGCTAGACAATTTAAACTCCTATTTAGCAGTAGCAAAATACACAAACAAATACTAAGTTTTAGAGAAAAAATGCGAAGTACTAAACCATCAATCCTATTTAAAAATTCTTCGAGCAAGACTTGAACTTGCAATTTGCAGAAGATTCAACTAAATTTTTGGGTAAAATAGTAAATACGGGAGCTGATTATGCGATAGAAAGAAAATTTGTATAGACTAAAGATACAGGGATTAAATTATATTATACTCACTTCTATCCTATAGCAGCCAAGCCAAAAGCCAGTATATTAGCAATCCACGGCTTTTGTGAGCATTCTGGTCTTTATATCAATGTAATTACTTAAATTTAAATGAAATCAGAATTTAATTTTAAACTTCTACTCGTATTATTTTTAACACCATAAAAAGTAATTGCTTTCTCCTTAATGAAAGGAGCCTTTTAATAAATTTTAAGGGTGATAATCCTCTAAAAGCATATGATAACATAAAATATTTACTAAAAGTAATTTTTATCCACAGAAGAGGAAAATAAGTATTCGAATAAAAGAAATAATCTTTCTATTTGAAAGTCAGTATTTTATTTGAAGAAAAAATTTGAAAAAATAGTATCAAGTAACTAAATTTTGAGATAAACTAACGTTTTCTCAGAAATAGATTTAGAATTTAGAGGGTAAAAGTTAAAAAAAAGGTGATATAATTATATTTTTGGATAAATATTCCCTCATCAAAAAAACATTCATTTCAAAAATCAAGCAGCGTAAAAATTAAAGTAAATTAAATAAATTTCAAGCTTGAAAATCTTTCATACAGTTTTCTAATGCCTAATTGATAGATTACCAAATCTCAGAATGAATTAATTAATCAATCAATGAGTGACTAATCGAATTCATTTAACAATATTTTACTTGTCAAAGAACTTACAATTTTTTAAAAAAAATTTACTCAAAATTAAGAATTTCTATAAATAAACTTTGAAACTTCTAAATAGAAATCTTTTAAATTGAGCAAATATTTAGTTAATTTGTTAGAAAATAATAACTCACCTAAGATTTTTATAAAAAAATTAAAATATTTGTAAGTAAATATTTTAGAAATTATATTAGACTATTTTGATGATTTACTAAGATTTTCCATCTTTCTACTATTCATCAATAAATAATATTTTAAATAAACTAAATTAATTTATTTTTTTAGCTAGGCAAATAAATATCAAAATTACTATTTTACTCCTCCAAACAAAAGTATAGATACAAATAACAAAATTCTAAAAACTAGCAACAATTTAATCATATTTTAAAAAAATCATTATTTTATGGAGGAAAAAAGTTCCTCTAAAATTTATAATATAATATAAATTTAGTAGAAAATCTTGATTTGAGAAAAAAAATATTTTTGGTGTTAAAAACAAACAAACAAATAAATAAATATTTATAATTAAAACGAACTTGCATACGTAAGTTACGTACAAAAGATAGAGAAGGCTCTCTTATCTAATTAATTATTTTTAATTATAAAAGCTTTTTCTGGATTGTAATTCAAAGCTTTAAATTATTTTTTAACTCACCCTCAAAAGTTAATGAAAAATTTACTTATAGTTGGATTAATTTTATTGTTGTATCATAAATACTGAGCACCTACAAAATGCATTTATTTATTGATGACATAGCTAATTTAATAATTTTGTCATCAATTTGATTAAATTTAAACCTTAACTTTATTTATTTATTAATTTAAAATTTTATTAAAAACACAGTTTGGAGATTATTTTGCTAGACAAGGATTTGAAGTCCATATGTATGATTAAAGAGGTTTCGGTTATACAGGAGGAATTTCTCGTTGCAGCTCTACTGAAGAATTTTAACAAGATTTAACTACAATTATACAACTTGTAGATAAGAGTATTCCACTTTATATTTATGCCCACAGTACTGGAACTCTTGGAGTTCTTTCTTATTTGATTATGAATCCTTAAATTTAAGTAGCAGGTCTTGTCTCTCTAAACGCATTCTTAAAAGTTCCCAACTATTTTGGATTGACTTAGAATAAAAAATTCTTAGCAAGAATCTTGCTTATGTTTTACGAGGTAAAAATTAAACAAAAACGATTTTCAAATAGAATATTGAATAAAAATATAATTTCAATGCTGATTGAAGATTGATGATGTATGAGTGAGTAAATGAATTGATTGATTGAGTAATAAATTATTCGATTGATTGATTGATTTATTGATGAATTGCTAAATTTTCAAATATTTTGTGTGAATTGACTTATTGGGTTAATTTTATTTGAATAAGGAAGTGTTTGTAAGAAAAAAAGATACAAGCATATTTATTTATTAAATTAATAACTCACTCTTACATCATCTACAATTTACGCATGCATATATTTTAATTGACGTATTTGATGATATACTAATTTGTTTTCATAATTTATTAAGGATCTTCTCGTCAACAGTAAAATCAACTTGAGCGCTCTTTGCAAAAATAGCTATCACATTAAGAAAATGATAAAAGACGAACATATTTCTCCACATTTAACGTAATCTCATTTGAATTGATTTTTCTTGAAACTAATTTTTTTTCTTTTTAAGTCTAAGGATGGCAATATCTCTTATTGAAATGAGTGAATTTGTGCAGAAAAATGCCTCTAAAATTACAGTTCCTATCTTTCTGATTCATGGAAAGGAAGATGTTGTTAGCAAATACTAAAATTCAATTCAACTTTTCAACACAGTATCCTCCACAATAAAACAAAACCACTTAATTGAATAAGGTTTTCATTAACCTCACTTAGATTCTAACATGAACGAAATCCACGATTTGATTAATGGCTGGCTAAACAAGCGTCTCTCATAGAATAATAACCTATTAAGTAAAATATATTGTCTTGATTCATTAAATTTAGAAAATTGTTAAATAAATTCCATGATTAATTTTATATTTTTTATTTAAAATAGATGATGAAATGTTTACTAACCTCAAGTATGGCTGCAAGCTGCCTTTGAGCAAAAAAGACTATATCAAATTTGGCCTTATAATTCTTTTCTTTGTATTTATGATACTGAAATCAAAGGGTAAATTCATAACAGGAATTTTCTAAAGGGCTCGCTGTCTTGCACTTGTTTATATCTTCAAAACTTTAGGATCAAACAGAGCAAGCATAGTTTGATTGATTGATGAAAAACAGCTTCTTAATGGTATTTCTTTCAAACACAGACAGACAGACATAACTACTTAACTTATTCATTCTTCTAACATATAATCACCATTATATAAAATATAAAATAAAAAATGAAAACTTTTCTTTTTAAACACAAGTCTCATAGCTCTCTCTTCCTATTGAACCTTAAAAAATTGTTATTTAATTAAGAGCAATTCCTATAATAAAAAGCAACCAAATGGCTTACTTCAAAATATATATATATTTTCTCTTGGACTAGATAAACTAACTAGAGCAAACCTCTTTTTAAGAAATTGAACAATAACTTTTGCTTTTTTAAATCTATCTCATAGTCTCTTTCAACTTTCTTCAAATACAAGAATACATTCTTAAATAATAATAATAATAAATTAATGTAAAAAAATGTTAATAGCAAGCTATGATTCTTCGAATACCGCATTTAAATACAAAATAACATATGAAAAACACACTTGAAAAATAAAGTAATGTACCATATAAATTAATTTAAATAACAACAAACTAACTAAGTTAAAGATAATAAATTAGAGAAAAATTAGCTAATTTTTTGATAATTAAATAATAATTTTAAATGAATACTTTATAAATATATACTACTTCTACTTTAAATAAATAAATAAATAAATAAATAAATAAATAAGACCTTTTTGGATTTCTAAATAAACCAAATTAATTCATTTATTTCTTAATAATAACCTATATACTATAGTTTAAAACAGCAATTGTATATTCAATATTGCAAAGTATTTATAATTTATTTTACATATGCAAACAAACAACTCACTCTATTAATCTTTTAAAATCTTAAGCTTCATTTTTTTTCTTAAAACTTACTTGTAAAAAATAGACTATAAACTTAAAATTTTTATATTCAAAGCATAATAGCATTCATTTATCATATTTATTATCCAATTATATTATCAGCTTTTCTTAGAAACTCCAAATATTTTCTTTGTTTCTTAATTTGTTGATTAAAGAAAATTAAATTTAATTGTTTTATTTTCATTAAAAAATAATTTTTTAAATTATCTGTAAATATTCATAAATTTATTTTTTACTTTCTGAAATCTTCTAAGCAAAATACTTTTTAAAAAAGTGAAATTCATCTTTTATTCTAATTTATATTTTGAAATAAATTAGTTTTAGAAAAATAGATTAATATTTAAATTTAAATAGAATAAATTTAACTCATTTATAAAATATTTAAAATACTTTGTTTTATTCAAAAGTTTTTTAAAATAAAATTTATATTTATTTAAAATACTCACTTTTTTAAATTAATTATAAACAAATCAATTTATTTTTTAAAAATAATAAAAAATAAAAAATTTTAAAGAGTTTTTCTAATTTAAAAGTAAAAATTAATTTTCTTGAATGTGTTAATTTAGAATAATTTTTAAAACTTGTGAATTTAATTACAGAAATTGTAGAAAGTAAGTAAATAGTTGTTTAAATAGATGCTTGCTATTTATATGGGTTTTAATTTTATAATATTAAATGATAGCAAATAGATAAATTTATAGAAATGCTAATTAATTAATAATTCAATTACAATTCTTTTTTATTAATTATAATTATTTATCTTTTAATATATTGTTTAGTCCAAACTTTTACTTAACTAATCGTATTTAAAATATATTTAATATATATGTTTAAGGGAATAGCTAAACATCACTTTAACATATTTAAATGCAGATAGATTATCCAGATTTATTTATAAATAAATAAATAATTGAAACATACTAAATAGCATTTTCAATCATCTAATAAGTCCTATTTTAGTTTAATTAAATGTTTAACAAATTAATTTCTAATATATTTTATTATTTACAAAAGGATCAGAAGACTTCTAATTTTAGTATTAATGTCCACCTTAATAGTGATGATTCTATTAATTTGCTTGAAAGTGGTTATAAGGTGATTAAGCACCTACACTAACTGAATGCTGGATATTCAAATTTTATAAACCTGTTGTATTTGTTTGTGATTCATTTCTAAACCTGTAATCCTAAAGATAAATTTTGTATTAATTTAATTTAATTTTAATATTCATAAAATAATAAATAAATAAATAAATAAATAAATAAATACCTGCCCATAGCTTTTGTTATAACTGTCTCCATAATTTTGATAATTTTCTATTAAAAAAAATATTTTAAAATTTAAGTATAGAGCAAATAAGATATTACAGCTTTAACTGTACTAAGTTGCTGATTTGGCCTTAAATTGCAATTAAGGATCACCATAATTATATTATTACTATGAATATGTATTGCTTTCAGAAAATCTTTTACTTTGCATATTTGAATAGTAGTTGCTATTCTAGTTTTGTTGGATAGGAGAACCATAGGAACTTTGGTGGACTAAATTGCTGGAGTAATTTTATAAATTTGTGTTATGACTTTCTTAGTTGCTATCTTGATGTCCATAATTATAGCTAGCTTGATTATTATAGCTTGGAGTATATTCATTAGTAGTAGTTGTATTATTATTATAATTATTATTTGAGACGTACTCCATACCATAAATAGGCTCTTCTTAGTCATTATTTTGCACGTTAGGGGTTTGATTGTAAAAATTTTAATTTTATTCTGCCTATCTCTATTCGTCTTAATTCATTTCTAAATGTAAAGATTTTCTTCTTACTGAAACGTCCTACAAAATTTAATTTATTTTTAAGTAAATAAGCTCACTTCATTGAAAATTTATTTTTTACTGGTATTGGGGGAGGTTGATATTTTGCTTTTTCCCTTTCTTCAGCTTTTTATATAAGTACCATATCCTGATCTATTGCTTTTTTGATTCTTTCATCTTGTTTTTATTTTAACACCTTTCAAATAAATATTTTTTATTTTGTATTTTGTATTTTTTAAGCATTTTTATAAATCAAAAAACAAAATTTATTTATTGCTTTTTTTACATTTCTTTACTCAATTATGCAAAATTATATTGATTAAAAATCATTAAAAAAAAGATTTCATTAAAAATAAGAATTTAATTTAGGATAAATAAATTATTTATTCGAACTACTTCAAAAAATTGTTAATTTCTTTTAATACAAAGTTTTTAGTAAACCTTTTAATTCTTTTAAAATAAATTGTTTTGATGCTTTTAAATCAAAGATTTTATTAAAATAATTAAATCAAAAGATATTTTAAATGAAAAATTAGTGCTTCTTATTAGTTATAATATACTTTATATATTATTTGTCTATCTTGTTTGTTTGTATTAATATTTTATAAGTATTTTGTCATTTTATTTGTACATTTTTTAATTTTAATAATCTATAGAAAAATATTATAAATTACTTCTTATCTGCACTTATCAAAAGAATTCTTTGGGTTATGGATTTCACTTAATTTATCATCTAGTTTTGCACTCATTTCTTTAATAGATGCCATATACTATATTAATTTAATAAGTAAATGATTTTATAATTTTAATAGAGAATTTACTCCAGCTACAAAACTGTGAAGATTATCATAACGTGAAATATAAACATCCTGAATTTGCCTCAGTGACTCGTCAGATGAGATTTTATATTGTTATTGTGAATTTTATAATTTTACTTCATTCTTTATTTATAGAATTTTAATTATTATAAAACAATTAATTATATATTTAGAAGTACTCGCTCTAATTTTTGCTTATCCTTTAGGGTTTCTTTGTTTTTTTGAATGAGTTCTTTTTACTTTTTTCTTAGTTTTTCTACTTTTTGCTCGTAATGGTCATACTTCTTCTTTGCTTAGTCGTGATTGCTCTTTATTTTCTATAAAAAGATTCTTTTACTTTCTTTCCTAAATTATTTAATTGAAATTTACTTTCGCTTTGTCGAAGTGCTATTGCCAATCTGTAAAGTAAATCTTACATGACTTAATCTTGTCACTCTTAGTTTTTTATTAAGAAATGTACTATTAATTTGAGATTTAGCTATAGAAAAAATTTAATTACAGAGTGGTTCAATATAACATTTAGCCTAGCAAAGATATCTGAGAATTGAGTAATTACGCTTTTAAACACACTGCTCTTATCATAAAGCTTAGGGAGTTCATTAGAAAGTATCAAATTGTAAGCCCCAAATTCTATATTTTAATTTTAAAATGATATTGATACAATATTCAAATCATATCTGATAAAACGTAATACACTCAAAGGCAGAAGTGACTTGTGTAATTCCTTTCTATATTTTCTAAATAACTTCATTTATATTTGTTAATTCCTTCATTCCTTCATCATAATTAAAGGACTTGTGTTATAAATTGCTCATTTTAATGTATATTTTATGAGTGAAAATAAGTTAATAATAAGCTTTTTCTGATTTCCTAATAATTTTTAATTTAATTACTAAAAGATTTATTTGATTATGATCCAACAATTAATGAATATACTTTATCAAACAAAATTAATTCTAATTACAAGATCTCACTTATTAGATTAATCACAAAGTGAACTAGGGTTTCTCATAGACTTTCCAAAAAATGTAATTTGAGAGATATTACATTTATTCATTAGTTGACTTGACTGCTGTTTTATATGTTAAAAACTCTTCATAAATTATCTAAAATATTTTTTGAAATTTTAAAGACATTTTTAATTAATTAATATTTTAGTTAAATTTATATTGATTTAAATATAAAAATAATTTTATTCAAAATAAATATATTTGAAAATATCTAACTTAGAAAACAAACAAACAATTGTTATATATAGACTTTCTTTTCAAAAATATATAATATTATGAAAGCTATTACATTAAATGCATCTATTTCATTTTTTAACAACTATTTTATAAACAATTTTTGAGGCAATTAAAATATTTTTAACATAAAAATTATAATTTGCATTTACTTTTATTTAATTTCTATTGGTTTAAAATAAAATTATTTTATTAAATTTTCAAATACTAATTCTGCTACTTTTGACTAGATAATATCTATATTCATTAATGCCCTTATATTTATAGAGTATTTTGCAATATTTTATTTTATAAATGACTCTTAAATATTCAGATGTATTTAATGATAAAAAATATTTTATGTTTATTTTATTTTAATTGATTTTAATAATAAAAAATATCATTTTTAAAAAAATGCATAGCCTATAAATTATATTGTATTTTAATTAATAATGAATTAAATCTTATTGATTTTCTAGACAACATAATTTTGATAGCTGTTAAATTTCAAAATATTTAAAATATGTTAAAAAAATATATTTTTTTAATATTAAAAATAGTCTATAAAAAATATATTATGCTAATGAAGAATTATTTTAGATTTTCCAAACATTAAATTTTGATATCTATTAAATATATTGAATAGTTTATATCTAATTTATAAATAAACATTCATATAATGATAAATAATGTAAAAAGGTAATTAATTTGCATTTATTTTATGAATAATTTTTATTTAATTTAACAGAAAAATTATTTTTTTTTTTGAATAAATATTTATCAACAAAAAATAAAAATGCTTTTGTTTTGATCAATAAAGTTTTATTTTTTATTGAAACTAAAGATACCTAAAATAACTCACTAAAAAATATATATCGATTAAATATAAAAGGATGAATTTTATTTTTTTAAGATAAAATAATGACTAAAGTAGTAAAAATATATTTATTGTTGAATTTTTTTTGTCAAGTTTTGTCTATTTTTGATCAAAACATAAAATGAAATTATATATTTTTAATCATTTAAAAGCCTGTCTGACTGACTGACTGTGATTTTTTTAATATGTAGTATAAAAAATACTATAAATATTTAATTACTTTTTTGTTAAATTAAATTTAGTAAAAAGTTGATTGATTGATTGATTAAGTGAATTAGAATTAAATGATTATAAAATATTTAGCTCCAGTTGGTATGCTAGTAGGAGGAACAATCTTAACCATAGGTATTCATTAAATTAAAGCAATCTACTTAGAATCTAGCGCTTGATATTTATTTTTGTTTATTATATCAATAAAGCAAGCTCATTTTAGAATAAATAAGTCATTGATGGTTAAAAATACTTCCATCCATTTATTTAGGTAAATCAATAAAGTAAAAAATTTAAAGTTAACAATTTTTTGTCAATCAATAAAATTAGACATTTTGCTACTTCCTTGGTGAGTCATTATGCTACATTTTCTACTTGCTTAGAGTTAAAAAGGGTAGTAATCTATAAGTAACAAAGCCAGTGTCTCATAATTTATAATTAGATATTTAACAATCATCAAAACTCCCTTTGTTTGGTTTGTATCCTGCTGTTTTAGATGGAATAGCAATGACCTTATAGTATTCATCCCTCACTCTTGTATCTCCTTCAGTTTATTAGATTTTAAGAGGGGGAGTTATCATCGTTACAGCTATTCTATCTGTAACAGTATTGAAAAGAAAATTAAATGTACTAAATTTAGTTGGCCTATTTGTTGTGCTTTTAGGTATAGTAATAGTAGGAGGAGCTAATTTAGCTTTTGGAATACAGTAAAGCAAAGGCAATACCCAAGATAGTAATGATTAAGTAATTGGGTATACACTCATTATAATTTCTCTTTTAGCGAATGGAATGCTTTTCATCTAAGAAGAGAAAATTATATCAACTCATAAAAATATTAATCCAATTGATCTAGTAGCATTTGAGGGTGTTTGGGGAGTAATATATTATTTGGCATTTTTGATCATATTAAACTTGATTCCTTGCAGTGGAAGATTCTGTGTCTATTAAAACAGTAGTTCCACCTAAGGAACAATTGAGTCGATTTTGGTATTTTTCAATCAACTTCGATTAAACTGTAATTTATATTTCTTAAATTTCTCATTTATTTTTTGAATACTGAAAAATTAGCAGATAAAATTAAAATAAATTTTGGGTGGTTAAAATCACATATGCAAAAATAATGCATATCATCAATCAATTTATCTATCTATCTATCTATCAATCTATCTTTCAATCTGAAAATTTAAAAATATCTTAAGATGAAATTATGATTCATTTACTTTTATTTTTATATTATAGCTCTCTTATTGATATCCTAGCTAATTGTCTTGATCACAATCGGATTTTATGCTTATTCTGCTGTGAGTGTTACAAAAAATCTCTCAGCAATGGCAAGGTAAATAAATATTAGTCAAAATATTTAATTTTAATTGAAAAAAGATATTCAACTAAATTTATTTATTTTGTAAATTAAATAAATATTTTTCAAAATTAATTAATTAAATAAATAAATTTTAGATCTTTAATAGATGTATCCAGATGCTTAGTAGTATGGATAGTTGGAATAGTCATATCTGTATTTTCTGACTAGTAATGGGAGAGCTTTAATCCATTTGGAATCATTTTATAAGTATATTTTTTTAATAAAATACACATTAAATCTAACTAAAAACTATTAAAATAGACTGTAGGATTTCTATTTATAGTTGTTGGAAGCCTTATTTATAATTAAATTATCTTCAAATAAAGTAATTAAATAATAATTATGCATTTAATATTTATTAATATTTTATAATATGATAAAGGTAAATATGGGTCTAGTACTATAACTTAAGAATTTAACTTAACTTTGTTAGATAAACATGACTAAGAGCATTAAGGCTACCATAAGCTTGCAGATCATGAAAATAAACATAAACATCACAAAAATAATTTCCATCATAATAATAATAATAATCATCATTTAAATTAAAATGAAAAACATTCTTAAAATGTAAAAAAAGATCAAGATAAAAGTATGTCTTAAATCATCAATGCAGATTAGATTTGAAAAAATAAAAAAATTAGATAAATTTCAATATTTATTTTGTAATATATTTGTATTAAATAAGTGTATAAATAATTTAAAAATCTATATTTTTTACTAATAAATAGATAGATATATAATCTATATTTAAACCATCTTTATGAGTAAATATGTTACATATATATATATATATTAGGGCCAGACAGAATATCAATTTTTTAAAGAATACCAATAAATGATAATTTTAACTTTAAATCATAAAAATTAAATGAAATATCACGATCTGTACATACCTACACAGTACGTGATATTTAATAACAGGATTAGCTATAAATTTATATGAATAATTTTTTGGTTTTTAAAATAATAAATAAATAATTTATTTTTTATTGATTAAAATTGAATTGAAATTAAAATTATTTAATTAAAATAGTTTTTAATTATGTTTAATTTTATATTAAAAATTAAAAAATAGCTTATTTAAACATAATCTATTTTTGAACTTTTTTTGTTATTTAAAGTTAGTTAAATTTTAGCTTAGGGCCTATAAATATTTGACAAAATATACATAAAATACTAACTAATATCTTAAACATTCATTTTAATTCAATTTTAAGTATATTCTTAGAATTTATTGTAAAATTCTTCTCCGTCTTTTTCATCATGGAACTGTATATTTATTTATTATTTATTTTTATAAATTTTAGTTTTAAAATATAATTTAAAATATTTACCTAAACCTTGATGATGTCTGGAACGAACTTTTCATCTTATTTTTTATAGAATATGAATTTAAGATTTTTAGTGCTGTTTTAAATCTTTTCAGCTTTATTGATTTTCTTTGTAACAACAATAGTGAAAATAACCTTTTTGATTTGATCTCTGAATTTATTTATTTATTTATAAAAATAATTTAATTTCATCTTTTGTTAAGAAAATAAATAAATAAATTTATACCTGTAGACCAAAATGTTAGGAGTTTTATCATCAGCCTTGAACTTTTCAAATGAAATGTAACCCTTTTCTAAGATATCTCCATCACCTCTTCTTACCTTAAGGACACTCTTATCAATTACTTTCTCATAGGGGTTATCGTATTAGTATTTCATTTAGATTTATGAGGGATCAATTTCAGGGCTATGTTCAAGTTCATCATCGTCTTCACCTTCACCTTCATCTAAATTAATAAAAATAATTTCATTATTTCATTTTTAAAAATAACTTAAACAAAATATTATTCTCTAATTAAATAATTTATTAATTTATTTATTTACCTCCTTCATCATCAGAACCTTTTGATTTGATCTGTTTGTTTTTTATTAATCATAAAAGCATTTTATAATAAATAAATATTATTTATAAATCATAAAATTTTACGTTACTAAATAAACCTCCAGTGGTGTTATTTTTTAGATCACCAAAAAGACTGGAAGATTCTGCAGGCTTTGCATTACCAAAGAGAGAAGTGGCATTGCTTGTAGGCAAGCTTCCAAAAAGACTTCCAGTGGGTTTATCAGTGTTGAAAATATTTTGAATAGTTTAGCCTCCTTCAACTTTGTTTGCATTAGAAAAAAGTCCAGTACCAGAGGAAGGTGTAAATAAGGAGTTTGAATTGCCAAAAAGAGTTCCAGTTCCAGTAGATTTACCAAAAAGTCCACCAGTAGTGGAAGTGTTACCGAATAATCCGCTAGTAGCAGAAGAAGGTTTTATACTTCCAAATAGAGATGTGTCATTTGTAGTTTTTTCTTTAGCAGGTTCACTAACTTTTTCTGTTTCTTTTTCTGATTATTCAGGCTTTGATTCTTCTTTATTTTCAGTATGCTTGTTATTACCATTAGTAGCATCAGTCTTAGCAAATAGTGAGGAGCTTTAAATTTATAGTAATAAAATATAAAGTAATTTATCTTTCTTAATTTGTTTTAATTATTAAGTAAAATAATTTGTCTTTTGATTGATAATTTTTAATTACCTAGTAGAGAATTCAATTTTTTTTTCTTCAATTTTGTCTCCATTAGTACCTTCTTTAGCTTCGTTAGCATGATTACCATTGTTATTAGCCTATTTTTAAAATATTTTTAGGAATGCTGCCTAATTATTCTTTCAGTATTAGCAATATTGATTGATATGAATAAATTGAAGAGGTTTATTTTGATGAAATTAGATTAGTAAGTAAATAAATAAATAAACATATTTTTTTATTAATTTAATTATAGATTTAGTATCTTTTTTAAATTCTATTGGAGACAAGTAAATAGATCATTCATTCAATCAATCAAGCATATATATTTTTATTTATAAAACCCTCTAAAGAAATTATTATAAAATTTAAAGAGTAGGAGAATATTTAGCGAGACACTTTCATTCATATCCTACTTTTAAATTTTATCCATTGCCTCTTTTTTCATTGTGTTTTTGGTTTTTTCAAAATATTTTTCATAATTTAACAATTTTTATTACAGCAGGTTAAGCGTCTTCAAGCTTTTCGAGGAGAACTAGCTTAGCAGGTGTGGTAGACTCTTCTGACTTAGGACCCTTGATCTTCAAAATTCTGTATTCAAAAATTGATATATAAATTACAATGATTAGAGTAATTAATAATTGAAGAGTCATGAAATTCTAAAGAAACTATCAATTATAAGGTTGCAAATCGGCAAGTGAATTAAAAAAGAGTCATTTTTACCTTCTTTATGCAATTTCTTCCTATATTTTAAAAAATTAAATTTAATTTAATCCTATTTAAAGCTTTGAAGTAGAGAAAAAGAATAAATTACAGGAGTGCTAATCTTTCCCAAATCAGGAGCTGCCTATTTTAGTTATTAAAAATTGGATTAGTTCAATAAAATGAATGTGTTTTGAGTTAAAATTTGATAGTTTTCTTTTCGAATTGTTCTTTCATTTAATTTTTTTCGTTTATTTTGCTTTTTTGTGCAATTTAGTTGGCATCTATTCTTTCGATACAAATGAGGAGACATTTCTAATGATAGTATTAACTAAATTCATTTGAATTTGCTTACGTGCTCATCGTCAGAGAGGTTATTCTATTTGATATAAAGCTTTATTATTTAAATTCAAAAGTATTTTGTATTTACCTAATCCAACTCATAGGGGGCTCTTCTTTTGCTCATTTCTCAGTCTTGTTTAATCACTATGTTTCTTACTTAGTTTATTGCTAATATTAGAAATATAAAGCTATATTTTTTGATTATTTTAATCTTAATTTATTATTTAACAATAATAATTAATTAATTATTGATTAACTAAAAATTGGCGAATTTTGTTTGAGACTTAACACAATTAATTAATTATACATACATATAAAAATAAATAAGAAATATAGCTAAAATACTCTTTATTTATAAATTCATTCATTTATTAATTTGCTTCACAGTGTTTCTTAATTTGTTTATTTATTTATGTATGTATATATCTACCCATTCATAATTGCAAAATATATTTATTTTATCAGCCTTGACTATATTTTTATGCTACAACCCATTTTATTTAGTCAAATATCTATCTATTTATGTTTCTTACTTTTTTATATTCAATATATATTAAGAGCTCTTTTAATTTTTAGCTCGAGGCATTTTAGACAAATCAGTAGTCAGCCATAAATCATAAATTAAATTGTAAGTAATTATTTTTTATTCAATTTAAAATGTTAAATTGATAATTTAAAATAATAATTTAACTACTATTTGAATTTTTTAAATATAAATTCCATTTATATATTTAACATTCATTAAAAATACATAATTGATTAATTAAGCTCTATAAATAAATATGTGAGTGTATATGTTAGTGTTAATAGAGTTAATCAACAAAATAAATTATTTAAGATAAAGAAAATAATTTTTAAATAGTTCAAAAATAAAATCATTTATATCAAAAATTCTAAAATAAGATTACTTTTTATTGAATTATAAAATTTCTAGTTAATTAAATTTAAACTGAGTATTCTCTTTTTGAACCTTAATTTTTTATAGCAATTTTAGTTTATTCTTACAAAGTGAACTAATCAGAAAAATATTGTAATCAACAAAACTATTTTCATAATTAGTTTATGTATCTGTATCACTTTGCTACTATTATTGTAAATTTTCGTCTTCGTCATAAGATTTAAGAAAGTTTTTAATTGGTAATTAATTAATTCGAATAATAATTTCGCTATAAAGATTTTGATTGCTTTTATTTGTATTTAATCTAAAATATTCTACTATCATTTTTCTTAATTTTAATTAATTCTTTTTGGTTTATTAAAATTTTAAAGTCTTAAAATATTTAAATAAATTAGATTTAAATCTATTCAAAACCAATAAATAAATAAGTGTAAAATAAAAATCCTATTAATATTTTTATTGAGCCATAAAATTATAAATAAATCGTTATAAAGATTTAAAGGTATACACAATTCGAAAAATTCTACTAAGAAAAACCTTTTGTATAATTAATTAATTTACTATTAATGTGTTTTATTTTTATTGCTTTTAAAATTTTAATTGCAAAACAATTTTATTTTGAGCTATTTAAAGATCTATTAATATTTATTTTGATTTGATTTGATTCTTATTATCAATTTAATTGTGTGTTTTTATAGATTTTTGAGCAAAAAAAAAGAAATATTTGAAGGTTTGAATATTTTATAAATACATAAATTATTTCAAATATTGTTAAATATATTATCTATTGAGTGTTAGTTTCTTACTCATCAAAAGTTACACTTAAAATGAATTTTATAATGGCTCATTTGTTAATACAGATATCGATATATTTTAACTCAATAAATTTTTTGAGTTGAGATTATTATAATAAAAACAATAAATACTTCTTTTATTATTATTTTAAATAATCCAAATACTTTTTAATAGCATTCGATAATCAATTGCCTCAAAGCAAGCAAGTGAGTCTATAACACAAAATATGAACAAACTCAAATTATTTTACAACTCTTTTTCTCAACCTTCTCGCGCTGTAAAATGTCTTTTAAAGATTGGCAAAGTTGACTATGAAGAGAAATTTGTAAACTTGGCTAAAGGCGACTAATTTAAACCTGAAGTAAAGAGCTTAAATTGGAACTGTTAAGTACCTTTTATTGAGGATAATGGATTCGTAGTTTTTGAATCCCATACAATAATGAGGTACATACATCAAAGATTTAACCTAGACAATTCTTTATACCCTCAAAAGCTAGAAGATAAAACAAAAATTGATATGTACTTAGACTGGCATCACTCAAATACAAGAAGATCTGCAAATTATGTGACCGCAAGTCTTTTATCAAAAAGAACTGGTTAACCATCATTATATGTAGAAGATTTAGTTCATAAAGAACTCCTAAAGGCAGTGCAAAATTTAAATGATAATTTATTAAATAATCCTTCACATTATATCTTTGGATTCTAAAAGCCAACTATCGCTGATATCAGCTGCTACTAAGAACTTACTGAACTCAAATTGATAAATTTTGATTTCAAAAAATACCCTAATCTTGATGCTTTTATGAATCAGATGTCTAATATTCCTGAAATCAAAGAAGTTGATAAAGATTTTTCTGATATCGCTTTAAAGATATTCAAAGTAAATCTTTGATTTTACTTACTGAATGAAATATATAAATAAGAGCATTAATTTTTTTGTTTTGTGAATTTTATAATCACCATCTTTAACATTCGACTTATCAATAAACATTTTATAAATTATTTCAAAAATTTTTTTTTTATTTGCCACAAAAAAATAAAATTATAGAAACATATTTTAAAGGTGAATTCAAATAACGAATAAAAGTAGTTTCTTATTTAGAAGAAGATTTATTATTTAATTTTATTTGTTTGTATTTATTAATATTTTAAGATATTTTAGGTGTTTATGGAAATTATTTTAATTTTTTAAATAAAAAAATTGATAAATTAAAGTTTTCATAGATTTATCAGATATAATATATTCTTCCTGATTTAAATATTTTTACATCCATCAGACCTATTCTAATTTTCTTTTGATAAAATCAGCAAGATATTTCTATGAAAATTGTAAATATACTTAGGATTTATTTATTTATCAATCATTTAAAAATGATAATAGCTATTTTTGCATTCAATTAAATGTTTAATTATTATTTTAAAACATTTAGTGAAATTTATTTAATTCATATCTGAGTTATTAATATTCATTAATAGTAGGATTAAAAAATATTTTATAAAATTGTATTGAAAAAAAAACAAATTATTTTTTTTAAAGTATTTAAAGAATAATATTTGAAATAAAATTTCAATTTTTAAGCTTTAGTATAATGATATTCTTGAATAGTGGGATTTAAAATTATTTTAAATTATTAATTTTATTTTAAACGATTCAAATATGTTTATTCAGTTAAATGAAGTTTTGTTATTTAAAATAGAAAATAATACAAAGATATTTTAACATAAAAAGTTTTTATAATATAATCAGAAACATATGTATTATTATTTTAGAAGAAAGGACTTTGAAAATCAAGAAATAAATAATTAACTTGAAAATGTAAAATAGACAATAAATTAAATAGAAGTCTTAAATTTTTTAGAAACATTAATAAAAGCACTTTAATTACGATAAGATAGATAAAAAAAGTTATAATACTATCTATATTCAGCAAGAAAATTAATTCAATTCACTTAAATTGACTTTTACACAAAGCAGAAAAAATTTAAATGTAATTAATCTATTTCAATTAAATTTAATCCTTAAAACTTTTTTATTTGAAAATTCAAAATAAACTTAATGATAAAGATAAATCAATTAAAATACATTTTAAAAATTAATTTATAAGCGGTAAAATAAATTTAAAAAAACTACTATTTTTTAGATTTGCAATTGTTTGCTAATAATAATAATTTATGCCTTTGAGTGTTTATTTAAGAAAGTCATTTGTTATGGATTAGCTTTGCATAATTGGTTAAATTATTATTTTATTTTAGATATTTAGTTCTTTAAAAATTTATTTAATATTTAAAATTTTAATGCTTAAAATCTTTTATTTAAATCAATTTTTTAAATTATGTAAATTTTAGTGCATTCAAATACATATGTGTAAATTATTATTTAATATCCTTTATTAGAATAGAAACTTTCAGATAAGCTTTTCTATTACCTCAGTCAAATAGCCAAAGATAAATCTTAAAAAGCTTTATTTCCAAATAACACATACAATCAATCCTACATAAAGATTTCTTTCTTAGTGTAAAGAAAATTGTAATATTGAAATATTTATTTGGCTTTATAAAAATGGAAAATTTAGAGTTAAAAGTATTTTGGAAATAGGCAACATTTATATTTGAACATAGATAGATTCTTAACATATAAAAAAAGATAGATTGCGTTATCATACAATAATACATAATCTTTTTCAATTATGAGTAATTAAATAGAAAAAAGTAGCAAGATAAAAAAAATATAATGATTAATTAATTAATTAAAATTAAACATCAAAATAACAAACAAATCACCAACCACAACAAAATCCCATCTCAAAATTTAAATTAAAAGAATGATCTAAAAAATAATTCCAATAATTTTGGTTTTAAAATTAGTTTTTGGATAAAATATCTTTTTGTAGTAATGCTTAACTCAAATTTGTAAATTATAACCCTAATAATCTGAGATATAACAATGCATAAGATAAAACTAGTAATGTGATGGCTTTATTAATCAAAATTTAAGTGATTGTTAGAACTTGCAATGCTCTGTCAAATGTTCTGCTTATTTAAGTTATGAAGACTAAGAATGTCTTTTAAATTGTATTGATAAAATTGAACCATAAATTTAAGATGAATGTTCTTAATTTTTAGCTGAAACCTAATAAGAAATAGTAGAAAATCATGAAGAAAGATAAGAAACTGTATAAAAAATGTGGGTAATAATAACTGTAGGATCCATAATTTTTTCTATAATAGTGATCATAATTTATTTTGTTGTTTAGCTTATTAAAAAGTTTAATAAATAAAAGAAATTATAAAATTAAAATTTGCGTGGAGTTGTTGTCATAAGTCAGAGTCAAGTTAATCAATATAATCTAAATAATCAATTAAAGCATAAAAATACTTTTCCTCCAATCAACAATGCAGTAATTATAGTTCCTGATAATATTTAAGATAGCAAAGAAGAGAGTAACAAAAGTTAAGATAGCTCTGCACAATAATAACAATAAATATAAACACAACAAATAAAAATCAATCCTAAATGAACGAAAGAGAAAATCTTACAATAATGATTTTAAAAAACTGTATATTTCGATTAAATTATTCTAGAAAATTTTCTTATATTATGTTATATATTTCTATTTACATTATTAATCAACTTACCATTATATCAAATTTATATAAAAATATCAATTTACTTAATTAAAAAATTATTTTTTTGTGTTTATTTTATGTAATTGTATAAACTTTGCTGTTAATTTATCTATCTATTTTTCATTTACTTAATTATAAATTTTTAAGTTTAATGTAACATATTTATTTTTAATATTAATTATGAATGTATTTCAATTCTAATTATTTTAAGTTAAGCAGTTACATATTTCTTGTTAAATATGAAAGAATCAGTAAATTTGGTATAAATTTATTTAGCTTACACAATTTTCAAATAAAAAATACTTCTAACACAAAATATAATTAGAGATGGAATGACTTAGATTTTATCCTTTATTTTTTTGGCAAAAGAGGTTTGCTAAATAGATAAAATAAACAAATTTATAAATAAAGAAAAAATCAGTAATAAAGAATTATTGTTTCAATATTTATTAATTTTTTTTTTGCAATTAAATTTTTCTAGCAATTATCAGCTCAAAAAAATAACCAATTAGTTCAATAAAAGTCATTAACATTTTTAAGTGAGCAGCAAATTATGTATGATATCTAATATAATAGTTCATAATTTAATTTAGATTTTTATTTCAGTACTTACGCAAATAAATAAATTAATAATATAAAAATATTTGCTAAGTTGCAAACACTTAATCTTACTTAATGCATAAATACAATGAAATCAGTATATGAAATAATTATCTGGTATGCCTTAATAAATCTAGAGATAGATATTGATGAATTTTATTATTTTACATATTTGAAATAACGCTCAAATTATATCTTACTTATTTAAAGAAGAGCTTTTACTCTATTACAACCAAGGAATCAAAAACTTGAAAGAAAGCAAATAAGAAATTTATATTGATGTGATGTCAATTAATTCAGTATTTTTGGAATTAATCTATTAAAATGCCAGTATGATTCACCTTGTTTGAGTAATAAAAAAGACTTTTCGCTCAAGCTAATTATACCAAAATTTTAAATATAAAAATTAGCTCTAACTCTTTATTTAATCCGGGTTAATATAGAACGTAAATTATAAAAAATGATAAAAAAAACACCTGATTTGATATTTTCGAAAATCATTATTATTGGATTATTTTTCCTTTCAAAGCCTTTAAAAAACTAATTTGATTTTTAAAAGAACTATTAAAATCCTAGGTGAGTATATTTAATTTTATAAAAAAATTGTATTAATTAAAATAAGTAAAAGAAATCCTCATAAATTATTTCACTCTGCTTGCTTGCTTCCTACCATTAATATCATAAATGAGATAAAGCATATAATTTATTTTAATAATTCTTATTGCTACCGCTGTTTACAGCTAAATGGATACAAATGATTTCTAAGCTTGCTTGATTAATAACTGTAGTGCATTACAGCAAGATTAAAGTTATAGTCCTGATCTGATGAGTTGCTTGGAAAGTTATGATGAATGCTATGATTTCGTAGGTGATCTTACTAACTCTTGTAATGTAAATAATTGCATAGTTGATTGCTTTGATTTGTTTTCATAGGACTCTTAAAATTGCTATAGTTAATGCATGACAGAGTAAAAACTATTCATTTAACAATCCTGCGATTCACAAAACTCAGAAATGTATTTTGTTGATTCAAGCAACACTGATAACACTGATAGCAATGCAAATAAGACTAATGGTAACAGTAACAGTAATAATAACAATAATAATAATAGCACTAATTCAGTAAACTAGGACAATTTTGGGAAACTAAGCTAGGCAGATAGCGGAAATTCTGATTCTAACACTTCTCTTTGGATAGCTATATACTGTTTGATAGGCACAGTTATTCTACTAATTTTCTTGTTTTTAGCTTATTTTATAGTTAAGAAAAGAAAAAATAACTCAAAAATTAATTCAAAACATACAGATTTATAATAACATAATAATAATCTATAACAATAAGAATAGTAATATCAATAATAAATCTTACCACCAATTTAGTAAATAGTAATTGGTGTTCCTGCTTAAGAAAACTCATTTTAAATATAAAAGCTACCAAACTATGAAATTAATTCTCATGAAACTAAGACATTTGATTAAAATTAATAAATTATAACTAATTTGAATAACTTGGTAAAAAAGGAACAAGGCGATTCAAACAAAAGCGAAATTTATATAATAAATAACTAATTATAAAAATTGCCAGCAAGCACTGCAATAAGTACTTAACTCGATTAGCCAAAGGTAGATGAATTCTAATAAGAAGAATTAAATAATAAAATGAATGATTAAGTTGATAATGCAAATCATAATGCTAATGATGAATATATTATAAATTTTGATAATGACGAATTAGATGGCTGACTGAATGATTAATAAAATTAATAATTTAGTCATCAATCAAAAATATAATTTTAAATTAATAATAAAAGAAAATATAGTTATAAATAAATGAATGAATGATATCAAAGTATAAAAATAATGAAAAAAAATTTAATAAAAAGTTGATAATAATTTATAAGTCGTTTTAAAGAATAAATAATTAATTAATATTAAGTAAAAAACACTATTTGCAAGAAAAATATAATGCAAATAAATATATTAACATAAATATTAATTTTGTCATTTTATTTGTATGAAAATCTATTTAAGTTAATTTATTAAATACATTAAGAACATTTATTTATTTTTTTATTAATAATAATTTTTTTATTACGAAAACAAATAAAAAAACATTTAAAACTTTATTGATTTAAATTCAAAAAAATATTATATTTATATAAACATTCTAATTTGTTTAAGAATCTGAAAATATTTTAGTAATTTTTTTTAATTAAATAGCAAATATTTTTAATTTTTTCTCTGTCAATAAATAAATTCGATAAAAATGTAATACTAAATTAAATTTCAATATATTTTTATAAATTTTTTGTTTAGGAGTTTGTTGAATTATATTAATTTTTATGATTTTTAAGAATATTTATTTATTGAATAATAAATTATATAAAATGTTTGAATAATAAATAATTAAATTAAAATATTATTAAAAATTACAATTCAAAATAATCCATTTATTTAAATTTATCTAGTAAAAAAAATATTTTTACTTCATTCATGTATTAATTTATTGAAAAATTTATATTTTTGTCACTTTTTTTCTTTTGGATATTAAATTTTTTGTTTTGTGAAAGCAAATAAATTAATTCTGCTAAATTTGACAAATTCTGATAAATCATACCAAAAAAACTGATTAATTTTTCTATTTCATAAATATTTTAATGGGGAATTGCTATTCATACACACTTCAATGGTATTTAGCTTTATTTACCAATAACAATTTTTATCATTTCCCTTTTTTTCATAATAATTAAAATCAAATTAAATCTATTCATTTGAATAATTTATGTTTTATTAAGTTGAACTTTTATTTTGCTTTATGAGATTGATAAATTAATTATTGATTGAAGTTAGTTGATAGGTAAAAAATAAATGAAATCAAATAAATATTTTAGGCATAAAGAATTTAATTTATTTTTTATGAATATTTTATTAAATTTGTTTTACTATTTTGGTTAAGATTTTTTTTATAGATATTGTATATTTAAAAGTTTTTGATTTTAATTTTTTAATCAAATAAAACAGTTTTTTCCTAAATTTATAAATTTATAAATTGAGGAATTCTTTTTTAATAATTAATTTTATGAATAATAATTTTATTTTTACATTTCTATATTCAGTCAGGTATTATTAATCACATTACTAATTGATAAATAATCTATTTATTAATTCTTTATTTAACAATTTAATTAATTTATATTGAATACCTTGATTGAAATTCATTTTTTATTTTTCTATTTTTGTATATTTATTTATTAATGAAAAAAAATAATATTTAAGTCTAACATATTTTTAAAAAATATAATTGTAAAGAAAAATAAAATATTTAGATAGTGACTATATGCCTTAGTATGAATACCATCATCTTCAACAAAAGAAAGCACTTATCGTTGAAATATTATAATGCTAACTTTTTTTATTTTTTAGTATAAATATCATGTTTTATTCTAATTTATTAACAAATAACAGAATTATTTAAAATCTTTATTTTTTATATCGGTTTTTAACAACTAACATTTTAATACATTTTATCTTTTTGAACATAATTAAATGTAATAAAATCATGAAAGCAAATTATTTTTACTAAAATTTGACAAATTCTGATAAATTTTACTAAAAAAACACATTTATTTATTTTTCTATTTCATAAATATTTTAATGGTGAAATTGCTATTCATACACACTTCAATAGTATTTAGCTTTATTTACCAAGATAATACGAATTCTTTTAAAATTAAGTTAAAATTGTATAAAATTGGCATCTAAATAAAATGAATACATTTATCAAATAGGTTATTAATTTTAAATATTTTTAGCATTTCCCTTTTTTGACAATAATAAAATAATCAAATTAAATTATTTTAATATTGATTTGAATAATTTATGTTATATTAAGTTGAACTTTTATTTTTTTTTATGAGATTGCTAAATTATTGATTGAAGTTGGTTGATAGGTAAAAAAAAAATGAAATCAAATAAATATTTTTGGCATAAGGAAATTAATTTATTTTTTATGTATATTTTATTAAATTTGTCTTGCTAATTTGGTTTAAGATTTTTTTTATAGATATTAAATATTAATAAGTTTTTGATATTAATTTTATAACGAAATAAAGCAGCTATTTACTCTTTCATAATTAGAGTTTTTGAAAAAAATGTTTAAAGTTATTTATGGAAAATTATATACTAAATATAGCATTAATGGTAACTGCAAATCATTAGTTATGATTGAATATGTGTGAGCTTAATTAGTAGTGATAAAATAAAAATAGAAAAATCTTTGTTTTTTCTATGGTAATATCTAATTAAATTCGACAGACTTTTTAAATTTTGAATTTATAAAAACACTCGAATGTAAATACTAACTAAATTCGCAATATTATTTAAATAAGAAATACCTCCCTTCTATTGATATTAATTGATAAAAGGCGTTAATTTCTTTTTAATTCAATTTTTGTCTTTAAATTTATTAGATTTTCTTGTAATATAATCATTTAAGGATAAGCAGATATCTGAAATAGATAGATAAATAGATAGATAGATAGATAGATATGCGAATTTAATTATTTCAAAAGATTTTTTAGAAATTTTGTTAAATATGAAGCAAAAGCAAATTAATAATTTAAGGCTTAAAGCAAATCAATTTTTTTTTTTGAGTAATTAGTTTTTATTTTTAGAATTATAATTTGACTGATTTATTTTGATAAATATAAATGATAAATGAAATAGTTTGCGATTGCTATATTTTTGTTGCAAATTTTATCAAATCCTTCATGTTTGTTTGTTTTGTAATAAAAATAAATAAATGAAATACAAAGTTACAATCAATAACTTAAATTATTAAGATATAATTAATTGCTTTTATAATTATTATTTGATTTAAAAATAATAGAGAAATACAAATTCTTGAGCTAACAATTTAAAAATGATGAAAAATATAATTATTTTAAGCACACTAATAGCATTATGTGCTTGCAGTCTCTATGATTGCAATTAAAATTGTTAATATTCAAATAGGTGTAATTCCTATAATCAATTTACGAATTGTATTAACTACAAAAGCGCTTGCTTTAATACAGATGATTGCAACTAATATAATTGCTACAATGATTGTAAAACATCAAGCTAACCTTTAGATACTTGCTAATTCTGCTATAAAAATTGTTCTGATTAATATCCTTCTTGCTCTACAAGTAGGACAGTTGCAATAATTGTAGGAGTAGTCGTAGGAGGAGTTTTCTTAATTATAATTATAGCTGGATGTTATTTCTATTAAAAAAGAAAATAGTAGAGATAAAAAATTTAGGATATGGCTAATAAAGCTAGACTATAATAGGATTTGTAACAGATGCAATTTTAGCAAAATATGTAGCAGTAAAATGTATAACTTGGATATAGTCAACCTCAACCATATATAAACTAACAGCCTATGTTCATTCCTCCTCCCTAATACTAAGTATATAACCCAAACATGCCAATGATGTATTAATAACCAAATATGAACGCATAAGGATATGTTGTAAATAATAACCCATAGGCTAAAGTACCAGCAATTAATAATGTTGTTTTGTGAATTAAGTAAGTAACACTTTAATATAAAAAATAAAGCTAACATTTTATTAAAACGTTTCATTTTTTGCTTGTCTGTTTTCCTATTAATAGAGTCATTTATTATTTGCAATTTATTTATTTTCTTTGTAGCTTATCTAAAAAATTTACAAAACAGTTCAATAATAAACAAATCATTTAATTTCTCTTTTGCAAATACCCTTTTTATCATTCATTCATTCTATGAATAAATGATTATGGAAGTGGTGTAATTTAAACAAACCATAGAATATTTTAAAATCTAATTTTTTTGCATGCTAAAATAAAATTGATAGTTTCTGAATAATTTTTTGATAATCAATGGTTATAAAAAATATTGTCAGTTTTGAAGGATCAAATTGGAAGTCAAAATACTTTTGATTAATCAAAAAAAATTTTAATTTTTTTTTTGTTTTGTTTGCAATTAAAATATTTTTTTTTAAGTTTTTTACGCAATTATTAATGCAAAGAGGTAATTATTTAATATATACATTGATATATTAAATTACAAATACTTCATTTTTTTACTCTTCATAAGTGCTTTATTTTAAATAATATCTTAAAAGATTAAAATAAGGGTTTTTTTTAATAGCTTATTTTACAATATTAATAATAATTGCTATCTATAAAATATGAATGATTTAAATAATATTTAGAACTAAACATAATTAGTTAAATTAAAGAAAATATTTTATTCAAAATGAAGTTAATGTATATATTAAATAAGAAATAGTTAGTGTATCACTAAAATTTATTGAAATATTTTGTGTAAAAAGGCTAAAATTAAAAATTTAATAGAAAAATCATTAAGATTGAAAAAATTAAAATTATAAATATTATTAATTAAATTATATTATAAATTTATTTATATAAAAATAATATTCAAACGCATCAGCCATTCAAAAAAATAGTGATCTCAATTCACTAAATTATTGAATGGCATTTGGCTATACCAAAATTTTCAAAAATAAATTATTAGAAATTTTACAAATCGTCTGAAAAGAAAGTGAAAACAAATGCAACAAAAAGCACCAATAACAAAATATAAATGAATATTTATGCATTATAAAATTTAGATTATAAATTAAAAATCAGCTTGGAATAATTAAGGAAAGATATTTTAATTCATCTTGTAATGTATCGATATTAATAACATTTGAATAAGAAGCCTCTACGTTTTAAAGATCATTTGCCATAGATTTTAGAGTTTAAAAATTTTCATCACCATAGCCAACAAACTATATTAATTTAATTAAATGACCTAATTTTTAGAGTTGTTGTATTTCAGTTTTAGGTTCTTTTGCATCACCATCTGATAAGAAAAATATAACATTGTTTTTCTTAAAAGTTTAACACTGTTCTTAGCTTAAAATATTTAATGCTTACTAAAGTGGAGCAGAATAATTTGTACCTCCATCCATAAATTCCTGAGGAACTTTTTATTTAATTTACTCATTCAATTTCTCTACTTTTGTATACAGCTTTACAGTATGAGCAAAACCAATAAGAGTGATAAAATCCTATGCTGTAGCTCTGCTTCTGTTGTCTATAAAATTTAATAGTTCTTTTCTCAGAGTAATCCACTTTTCTCCTTCCATACTTCCACTTTCATCAAAAACAATTATAAAATGAACTGGATTAATTTATGACTTGCATTTTTTTATAATTGAAGCGTCACATATTTCTTAGTACTATATATTATTTTTATTGCAAATTTTTTGTCCTACTATTGACCAAATTTTTTAGTATGTCAATCTTTAAAGTTATAGCTTTTAATTTTAAACTTCCTTATTCCAATCCCAATCATCATTCATTTTCTTGAAATTACTCCATTTTAATTGAGTTTACTTATATTTGAATTATGTTTCATCATCGTAATCAGAACACATAATAAGAGCTGGCAAATTTTCTTACTCAATTTTTACTCCATTAAAGGCTGCAAACCTATGACCGTTCTTAGCTGTATGTTTATTTTCACCAGTACCTATCCTATCATACAAGTATTTCCAGTGATCTTGATCACATGGTTAACCACAACAAGGGCACTTGGAATTACATGATAAATATTGAGTAATATTTGAAAATTCTTTATCAATTAAATCTACAGCATAGGCTTTTATAATTTCTTCTTAAAATATTTTATCCTGTATTGTAATTTTTAATTAACTGAAAATTAACTTAATTTATTCAATAGAGTAAAAGGATGACTATTATGTTATATCCCAAAATTCTTTAAAAAACTAAATATCTTTTTAATTTTTTAATTATAAGCTATAAGCTTGATCGAAAGTATTCTAATCTATATTAACCTGTTTATTTGATAGGATTTAAAAAATATTATCTATAAATAATTTAGGTGTTTCATTATTTTTTATTTGTTCTTCACCCATTAAAAATTCAATTGTTTGGTTTGTTTAATTTAAGATAGCCTTTAATGTTTTAAATAACTCATTTTAAATCTCAGATAGTTAATAACTCACATATTTCACAAATTCATTTTATTTGCTTAAAGCGGTATCAATTATAACTTTATTTGGATCTTCGAGATAGGTATCAATTTAGTCTAAACTAAAATCTTATTTTTGATAAATTTTTTATTATATTTCTTTAACAATATCTTCCTTAGAAAGAGAGTCTTTATAAATCTCAAGGTTCTTATTTATTACTATTTTAGAATTTGAATCAAGATATCTTTTAGAGAGCATTTATAAATTTTGTATAAACTCATTAAGCAGCTATTTATCTTTGTCTTTTGCATTTTCTAAGAATTTTCCTTTTAGAGATTACTTCTTATCAGCACTAAAATTTTAATCTATAATATTATTAAGTTTGTTTTATTAGTTTTGTAATTGAAATTTGTATAATTCTTAAATAGCCATATTATTCAAAAAATGTATTGAAATTTCAGATAGTTGAATTTGATAAAAACGTAATTGCTCTTAAGATTATTTAATTTCATCTTAAACTATATTTGCTACTTCTGAAATTAACTGTCTATCTACATTTGTTCTATTATTGATAGCTTAATTTATTTTTTAATTAATTCTGCTGAAATAGGAATCAATTTTAAGAATATTACAATTGAAATTAGCTTAAAGTTGAGTTTTCAACCATTAGCTTAGAACATTATTTGTAATATCTTTTAATTTTAGTTCAATTAAATTTTTACTTTAATCATCAAAGATATTTGTTTTTTACTCAATTTAATGTTCTTTAAATGTGTAAATTGAACTTTAAGTTTAAAAAGAAATTTGATTAATTCTTTTTTACTCTTTTTCTTTTGATATAATATCTTTTAATTCAAAATTCATATCAATATATTTATACAAATCTTCAAATAATATTGAGTTAAGATTTTTCTTATTTATTGTAATATTGCATGCATTTTTCAAAAAATTAGGTTTAATTTAGTTGCTTGTAAAATCTAAATATTTTTTTAAATAGTCTAATCGGATATAAAATATTTCATAAATTTATTATAAAAGTTAATGATTAATTATTTCATTATCCTTTTTTTAACAATTAAGTAAATGATCTTTAGTTTCTAAAAAATGTATTAAGCTAGTCTTCTTATGTAAAGTTTCTTATAGATCAAAATCGAATTAATAATTTTGGATTATTTTTGTAGTAAATTGTTTTCCTAATTACAACTCATAATTGTCTTTGATAAAAGAAAATAGCACATCTATATTATTTAACTGTGAATTTTTCTAAACAATTTATTCTATTTCATGAAGCTTTTCCTCAAAATATTCAATCTATTCTTCTTAACTGTTGTTTTTTTACTACTCTGCTTAGCTCAGTAACTCAAGTGTTTTTTTATTGATAAATTCTTCCAAATTTTTTATTTGCTTGCCAAATTCAATGTCATTTATTGTGTTTTCCAAGAGAGTTTACAGCTTTAAATGCAAATAATCAAAATTTTTATTTAATAATTCTTATTCAATTTAAAATTCTTCTTGCATTTTTTTCTTTATTTTTTATTCTAAGCAATCAAATAAATCCTTGATTTAACTATCAACATTTTTAATTTGATTATTTTAGGTAATGCTATCAATTTCTTTTAAAAATGTTTCATCTATTTCATCATTCATTTTCTTCTTCATAAACTCTTTTATTCTTTTATCATTTTATTTCTGCAAAATATCTCTGAAGGCTGTTAAGTCTTGATTTTAATTTATGGTTTCATAAATGTTATTCATTAACTCAAGAAATTCTGGAATGGTCTTAACCAACCTAAATGCTTACTTTTCATCCTCTTAGCAAAGATTTATTAACTTATCAATAATTTTATCTCCTAATTTTTATACGCCTTCAACAAAATTGATTTAAGTCTCTAAAAAATTCCATACTTAGTCATTCTGAACAACTTTGTGCTTATATGAAAATGCCGTTGGCAAATTAGTAACATTTTTACTTTTAATATCTATGTGATCAATTATTTTTTTCTTATCTTAAAAATTTTTCAGAGCATTTTCTACTGCCACACAATTGTTTTAGTTATTTGGATCCCCTTTTTAATTAAAAACGATCTCAACTACTTTTTTAGGTATTTTATTAGTTTTTAAATCAGTTGAGACATCAATGCAAAGCTCCAATATATTACTTATTTCTGTTGTTAGCTCTTTAACGTTAATGATTAGGAATTAGCTCACTGATAAGCAGAATAGAGTTAGTTTTCTGTCATAATCTGGATCTTTTTTCTCTTATGATAAAAGACCTTCAGAATCAATTACTAATATGTAGTCAAACTATGGTACCTTTGACTTTACGAGAGTGCCATATATTCCTCTCGTACATCTCCCTTCACTCACGTAAAAGTCACATCCTAAGAAATAATTCAATAAGGTTGATTTACCTGAATTTTGTGGTCCTATTATGCTTATGATACAAAATTTTTTATTTGTAAATAATTAATGAGAAAAGCATTTTTTTAAGAATTCGTATGGATAATAAAATGTTTCTCCATCAATTATTTCAAAAGGG